CCCAGACATCGGGCCCGTGTCCCAACACCGCACGCTCTTCAGGCTGGCTTCCCCTTTTCCCACCCGGAGTCCCCCCGCACGTTCACGAGGTTCCCTCCCCTCTTCAGTCCCGCCTGCCCCTGTCTCTTCCCATCGGCTATCCTGACCCCACCCACAGCCCGCAGACCACCTGCTCACGGCTGCCCGAGACTCCACTATCGCCCTCTGCGCACGTCCCTGCTGTGCGGATTTCAACCCTTCTTGGCCCATCCTCCTCTTTTTCTCCCACTGTCGTCTCTGAGAGACCCTCGCGTCATCTTCAGCTCCCGTCCTCCTCGCCCTCGTAGCTGTCGGGCACGTGAGGCAGCCACCGTCTTTTCCCAGCAACTTGTGCCCTGGATGCCCTGCCCTCATGCTCCCCTCCTTGCCATCTTCATCGCCAACGTGCTGTGCCGAATCCATCTGCTCTCCCAGTTCGCTCCCAAGGCCCCTACCCTTTTAGCTGCCACCATTTTTGAGACGGTCACTCCTCCTCTGGGCGTCTCTCTGACCTTTCCCGTCTCCCCGTCTCCCCGTGCCCCACACTGACAGGGCTGTCTCCAGCACCTTCCAGGCCACTACCACCACCACCTCATCCTCCTCCGTTCTCCTCCCTCCCGCCTCTCCTGCGTTCCTTGATTCCTCGCCCACGCTGTGCTCTGCTCCCGGGTGCGCTTCCTCAGGGCCCTGGTCCACTCACGGGAACACACTTCCTTGATTCTCCACGTCCAGCCCTTCCTTCGGGCCCTTCGCCGGCCCTCGTGGCCCGCCACGTCCCTGGTCCTCTGTGCAAGCCTCTCCTGTCCCCAGCGGTCAGGCGCCACGGCCTGCCTCTCTCACGCTTCCGGCCGGCTGGACCGCCTCTCCTCGACCCTACTCTCCCGCGTCTTGCACGCTGCTCCCCTCACCTCCTGCCTCCAGGGCCCCATTTCCTTGCCTCTCCTCTCTGCTCCTCCCCTGCCTACAGAGCAACGGGACTGTCCTACCGGAGCCCGCGAACGTTCTTTCAGCTACCCTCTGTGACTCTTCCAGCGGGCCTCAGGACTTGGCGCTGCCGTGTGCTCCATGCTTAGTCCCTCGCCCCCGGCTCAACCCGCTTCGGCCGGTCGTCTTCGCCTCGCACACAACGTACTGAGTGAGCACGCTCCACCCACCAAGCCGTGCGCACGTCTCCGCGGACCCAGGCTGGGCTGTCCTCCTGGACCTGCGCGAACGGCCCCGCCTGTAACCTTTCACCTTTCCCTTCAGACCCCCTGTTGCACACTCTTCTGGCACACCTCTCGGGGAGCCCCTTCCCGTGACTCTCCGTTTTCCTTTCCCCGCAGCGCTCCTGCCTTCTTTCTGCCCTCCCTCCGCCCTCACGCCTGTGAACCCCAACCTCACACCACTGCGCTCAGTCTCCAGCTGCACAGTGCCCTGGGTTCTGCCATCGTCCGTCCGTCCTTGCCTCCTTCCTTCCTCCCTCCCTAGCAGGCTTCGCTCTCCCACATGTCCCCCCTAGTGCTGTCTGCTGTCTCCCCTACCGCCTGCCCCTTCCTTTCCTGTGGACCTCCCACCCGGTGCGCTCTGCTCACATCCCCACAAGCCAGCTTCCTTTCGGCCAGCACTCCCGTCTCTCTCACCCTCCTGTCGCATGCGTCCTCGCCTCCGGGACCGCCACCTTGGCCCTGCGCTCCCTACCCACCGCCGGTGAATCCCAACCACCCCCATCCTTCCAGGGGCCTAGTCGGCTACATCCATTTGCTCGCTGTCTGCCTCGTCCTGGGTCCTCGACCCACACCCACGGCTGACGTTCCTGACTCTGAGGCCTCCGTCCACCCCGACTCAGGGGCCCATGTGCTCATGCTCGTGCTCCACCTCTCTGCCCAGCTCTCCACTCTCTGCCCCTTCCACCCAGTGATTCTCACCCGAGGATGCATGGCCCCCAAGGCAGCCTATCAGCAGCATCTTTCGGGCGTGTTTTTGTGTTTTCTTTTTCCTTTGTTTTTGGTTTTGTTTTTGTTCGAGCAGAGCACTGCTCCCCCTCAGATGTTCTGATAGGTCTCCCTTGGGGGCCATGCCTGCAGCCCCCCGCCTCGGGTGAAATCCACCCCCCCCACCCCCGAGAAGAATCACTGTTGTGGAAGCCCCACCTGCCTCCCTGGGCTGCACTCTCCCCGTGGGCGCCTCTAGCCTTCCGTCGGTTGCCACTGACGCTTGCTTGTGCCTCAACGACCCCTGCAATGCCCCCAGGCTGCCATCAGCCCGGCGCTGTCCTCTTGGCACCACCACCTGCCTTTCCATAATCACTTACTCACACCCCACATGACTGAATCCCCAGTTTACTTCTAGAGTATACTTTCCTTTCTTTTCTTTATCTTGCCTCTTTATCCCGAATCAGTACTCTTGCTGTTATATTCTTTTTTTTTAGTTATGTGTTTCTTCCATGCATCCCTCATTCCACTGTTTCATTTTACTTCCTTCCCACGTTCTTAGTGTTTACTTTGCTTGATTAGAATTTTTCAAATCTATTCACTGAAGCACTCAATCTTTTCCATATTCAATATTACACAGGACACACTCTAACCTTTTACTCTCATCACTTATTCCTCTACTCCTTTCAGTTCAAGAGTCTTAATTGTCATCGCTTGTAGATCTTGTCGAAAACTTGGCACCTTCCTGAACTCACCTCTGGAAAAGTACATATACTCTTAATCTTATCATCTGATTTCCCTCTCATCCCCATTCAATATTTTCTATTTTCTCATTAATATTTTCTATCTTTCACATTTACATACTCTGACAAATTTGGCAAGACCCTCTGTCTCACCACCTTAATTTATACACTGTTTGCTGTCATCCCCCTCATGCATTGCCCTGCTGCACTCTGATTTTTCATTGTCTGTGTATATGGTACAATGCATGCAATTTTCCTGTCCTCTTTCCCTCTGTTATTTCCATTATTATTGAGGACATTTTTGTCTGATTTTTGTTTTTTCTCAAGGACTCTCTTATTCCTGTGTGTAACTCTAGTTTTGCATATCTATTCTGT